GATATCTTTCCTCTTCCATACAATAATGAAATACCATCTAGCAATTTCCTCTTCATATCATGAAGTTTTGTTTCACCTATATTTTAACATTTAATTACTGCTTTTTCTCTCCACGTACCCAGTTCATCTCATTCATTTTTTACAAACCTATCAAGAACTGTCGCAACATTACCAGACAATCCAATACAAGATGTAAAGTATATAAGAAAAACAAGAGAGGCAATAAATTTAGTAGCAAAAACGCCTTAAGGTAAAATTTAAAAACCATTTATTAGAATGGCAAATTCCAACTAATAATAATTAATTCTCTGTAATACATAATTAGGACAATACTTCATTTAAAACTAAAATATTTCTTGCTTAAAAATTCCGAAAAAGGGTAATTGCTGACTACGAAAATTCCCAATCCAAATAAAGTCCAAGAGTTATTTTTCAAGAATCCTTTTTCTTCATTAATTTGACTTTAAGACTTATTGATGGCCAACACAATTCTGATATAGCTATTATCCCAAAACATTGGTGCATATTTCCCTCAAATAAGACTTATTATGACATATTATATTAAGACATTTATGAATTTTACACAAACTAAGTAGAAAGAGAGTATGAAAAAGTAAACACTGTGGAAACTGCTATTTTAACATTATTGCAAAACCAGAGAATACAGGGTTCAGTGTATCAACTTGGATTCTGTTTTCTGCAATTGATATTTTCTACATTTTTTAATAAAATTTTGCGTAAACCCTGTTTTGCAACAGAAACAAAACTCTTTATGAATTTCTCAAATTCTTATTTGTTGTCCCTTCAATTGTGAATACAAACAAAGCACATCCTCCACACCGTGAAGGTATGCATGTACATGCTAACAAGAAGAGTAGTCAGAAGTAGTTAAAAAAACATGAAGTTTATATGAGAATACTTGCGTTAACTTGCATATCAGAATGTTGAAAACTTATTGTAAATATTCTCTAGCTAATAATTTTAAGTACATTACCAACTTACAAAATATGACTTAAAGTACTTATGAACTTAAGTCATTATGTACAAATGTACTTAGCAAATAAAATGCTGCATTTCTCCAAAACATGCTTGACTCCCAACAATCCCATCCAATATAAACCTAACAGAATTTCAATATCTTTGAAGTCCTCTTTTTCAGAATATCCCTGAAGCCCTCTTTTTCACATGGAAACTTACTTTTGACATAATATCAAACATCAAGTCTGTTCAGAACATTCTCAAAATAACCTAGAAAACAATAGTTAATCACACTACTTTATGTGAACACCGAACGTTTTCAGTGTTAGTTTTCCTGTATTTCTTGACAAAGGAAAATTCACAAAACAATGAAATTAATTTTCATAGATCAACAATTAACATTGATTTTCGGCATCACACATACATAATACATACTCCTAGATGTAACTTCCTGTATGTCATATCAGCAATATCTGACTATACTCAAGGCAAAAATTACAACATCAAATCCATAATAAAAACAATAAATATTAATATTGCATATTATAAAAGTTAACTTGAATCCAACAATGAATGAAAACCTACCTTCTTAAAATCTTTTAGACTCTGTTTCAAAGAGAGACTTAGAGAAATGCTTCACTGCCATTCAAAATATTTTTACGTAGACAATTTAACAGGTACAGAACTTGTTCAACTCAGTATTATAATACAGAAGAAGCAGATTATTAATAACAGTAATAAGATACTGTTTCTCAATAAAAACCTCAACACTATGACAAAGAAAGCTGTGTTGAATGGGGACAAGTCCTTAGAAAGTTTGCCTTACAATTTTATATCCTTCCCGATACTTCAAAATTTTTATTTTTGATTTAATGTAAATGAAAATAAGTAACTAGTACTTCAATCACTTATACAATATTCAACAAGGAATACATAGAAATGTCAACAGAAGAAAATAGAAAGAACTTGAAGGAGGATATGTCACAGAAATCTGTTTTGTATCAATTACAGTAAATTTAAAAAAAGAAATTTTGTTTTGTCTGTAAATGTAATATTAATTTTTTCAACTTCTAATAATACACAAAAAAACATCCAGACTTTTTGTCCCTCAAGGAACATTCTGTTAAGCATGCCAATTTCACACAACGACTTGCAAAAGAATAGAATGCAGTTCCATGAACAAAATTGTTCCATCATTATTTTGTTCTTTGTTGGGGGGTTAGGAGTCTTTCAACCATTGAGGTCTTTGAGACTCGTGCATGATGATCAAATAGTTTAGATTAGATCTAGAGTTTACAATAGTAATAATGAGGAAAACTAGAAAAATGCTCAAATAAAAGGCATATGAAATGGGAAAACCCAGCAAAAACCTGTCAAAGAGCTAAGTTAATCTATCTCCAATTCTACATGGATTGGCTAGGGCTCTAAATATGTTCAATACAAATTATGATCCAATATAATTATGTTCCAATAGAAATTATAACGTCTCAACTGTCTAGGCTGTGTATACTAACAACCCAACATTAACAACAAGAAGCCACAGGATCAAAGAAGAGCAAGAAAGTGTGAGAAGAAAATACTGTTCAAGTAAAAGCAAAGGTCACCATGGAAACATCTTTAAATGAATCTGGACACATGATAGGCATCACTGAATATGGAAAACATCTCATTGGTTTCATAACATATTAAAATGCAGATTCAGATAACTTTTGTTGAAGCAATTCCTCTTTACAACAGCATAGAAATAACTCTGAACTACATGATTGACAAGTTATGCTACTTTTATCAACATATTTATTAAATGTCATTGAACATCTTCAAGCTTATAAAAATTATAATGAAATCAGATCATAATCAGCAAGAGTGGACCAATAAATAAATTGCTTATGACAATGTAACAGGACAATTTGTTTAAAATAAATTAATTCCATTTGAGTAATTCACATTAAAATCAGTATTTTCTTACCCAACTCTTTCTTTAATTCACATTTAATCTCAAAACAGTAACTCAAAACCCTGTTTAAGAAGATCCTAAGATACCTCATTTCAGCTAGAGTATATTATGCATATATTCATTCTAAACTTCCTGTGTGTGCAAGATTAAAACATATGCGTAGCGTGAATCACATGAACATTTTTGATAAATTATACCAATTTCAGACATTCTGTTCAACAGAAAGAAGGTTTATTTGGCTTATTCTGAAGAAACTCAATACAATTAATAATACTAATAAGATTTTCAGTGCAATACTTATGTACTGAAAGTACTGAAAACTAACGTCCTAAATTTTCGAACTCACATCTAGAAAATGACATTCATTTGAAATGATACTAAATAGCTCATTTGCAGTATTTTTGCAAATTTCAGTAATAAAATTTAAAATTAAATCTCATAATAATTAACAACCACATTTTTAAGGTTTTTTTCCATTGAATCTTTATTCATAAATAACATTTCAATGCTAGTATCAAGACACCTCCCATAGATTCGAAACCTGCCATAAAACATGAAGCAAATAATACAACTCATTAAACATATTAGGTAACAACTATTAATGAAATCACCACAGAATTTTGTTTTAACTCTACCACCCTGATTGAGTCCTGCAAATCAAGAAGAAAAAAGAAGAATTTAACCATCATTTCACCATCAAATTAATTATTGAACGCTGGTCTAATGATAAATGTTAGTTGAAATAATATATGAATAACGTAATGTTTAAAAAAAGTCTCGCACACAATTTGAGTTAAGTAAGTTTGCTATTCAGTCTAATCCTTTACTGGACAATCACATTACAAAAACGAAGTTTATTTGCCTATTGTAATAATTAATGTAAAATCTTGATTTAATAATGCAGGGGAAAGAACAATATATATTTAATTTGAACCTCATCTTTCCAAAAAAAGGAACTGATAAGAAGAATGTTCCTCTTTAAGATCACAATTGCAAATCCTGGGAATATGGAGCAAACTTGAAGCTCTAATTCAACCATAGTTCACGAAGGATATATATATAACATGCAGCAGCGTGATCACTGGCAATATATTTAATCATACCATTTCATCTTATTGAAATACCAAAAGAAATTATACACAATCGAGTTTATAAACCACAATGACAACATTGGTTTGTGAGCAACTCCACTTCTCGGAAGGAAGTCTACACGAAAAGAAGATAACAGAATTTGGTATTTAATAGAATACAATGAGCCAAGTATGTAACACACATTAAAGTAATGAATTGTAATTTCATGCATGTCAAAAAACACGTTAAAATGCACAACAAAAAACTATTAGGTTTGTTAATTTAATTCATACATCACAAACAACATTTTACACATGTGCTAAAATACATCCAAAAAGTGAATTTTAAGAAAGAAACATTCACATAAAATGCAAAAGCATGCAATCATGCAAGACATTCTGTAAGGTAACACATCAGCAATTATCAACAACTATGCATCCAATAGAAACTAAACATAGAACTACACTACCACTATTAATCTATTTAAAGAAATGACTAATTACTCCACGTGAATGTTTCCACAAATGATTAGCTTTCATTTTACTCTATTTAACTACTTAAATATGAACCTAACAAAGAAATTAACACCACAAACTTCAGATAGGAAGAACAGCTAGAATATATGTAACAAGCAAAGAACATTTAAAGTTTTTTCAAAAGTATATTTATATTTATCTTTGCTAGAAGAAAAATTCAAATAATTCTATTAAAGTAAGGCAACTATTTGCTCTCTTATGAACCTGAGCATACTTCTGTGACTTTGGTGCCATTCAAAATTCACTGAATCAAAACATTAAGATTTGCTCTAGCAATTCTACATAGAAATTTTTTTGTATCAATTCTAACATTTAAAAATTAGATAAAAACTGAAGTATTTACTACAACAAATAAAATTAAAAAATACTTTGTTAGAAAAGGTGCACAAAAATATGTTTTGAAAGTGAATGTAAATAACAGCATGCAATTAAATTTACAGTAATTTATCAAAAACATAAAATATTAACAATAGGGAGCTCAACGAGTATTCAAGGATTAGGATTGAATCCCTACAAGCATACAAACTGAATAATATAATTTCTTGCAAAAATAAATTACAATGCAAAAATATCCATTTGATCTTTGGTAATGCAGAAGTGGTGTTGCAGAAGGTGGTGGTGCAGAAAAGTGGTGAGGGCAGAGTGGTGGAGGCAGAGTGGTGAGGAAAGAGTGTGGAGGAAGAGGTGGTGGAGAAGAGTGGTGGAGGAAGAGTGGTGAGGAAGAGGTGTGGAGAAGAGGTGGTGTGTGCAGAGTCGGTGGGAGGCAAGGTTGGTGGAAGGAGTGTGGTGGACGGAGAGTTGTGAGCCAGCGGTGGTGGAAGGCAGAGTGGGAGGCAGAAAGTGGTGAGCAGAGGTCGCGTCGGAGGCAGATTTTGGTGGAGGCAGATGGGTGGTGGAGGCACAGAGGTGCGTGGAGGCAGGGAGGTGGAGGCAGAGGAGGTGGAGGCAGAGGTGGTGGAGGCAAGAGTGGTGGAGGCAGAGGTCGTGGATGGCAGAGGTCGTGGAGCGCAGAGGTGGTGAGGCAAGGTGGTGTGGTGGGTGGTGGTGTTGGTGTGGTGGTAGTGGTGGTTGGTGGTGTGTGTTGATGGTGTGGTGATGGTGGGTGCGTGTGTGGTGGTGGTGGTGGCGGCAGAGGTGGAGATGATCTTGATGTCCCATTACATGCAATTCTAGTGTCAAAATTTATAAATCAATTCCAAGTAAAAATGGATATTTTTACAAAGCTTTAATTACAAGAATATGCAAATCAATTTGCACTTAATTTATACACGAGTTTTTTTTTCTCCTGATAGGCAATCTTATAGCAAATATTTGGTCTGTATACCCATACCTAAAGATGATGGAGTCCAAATCAAAAGGATACTCAAGAATTCCCGTAGTGGGTTGACGTGCCCTGAGAATATCTTGCTCTGTAGGGAGGTAATCAGCTTTCTCGATTCTCTCGAGGTCACTAAGGTAACTGCAAATATCGAAGCATGCAGGCCCATGACCATCACACAAAACACATGCAAAACATGGTAAGATTGTTTATCCATAAGGCCAGACTGCTGTTACTCGAACAATTCTACACAAATAAACATGCAATGCAAGCAATGCACATGTATGGACTATTTTGCTCATTCTAGATTTTGTGTAAGTTGGGGGAAAAAATATTGTATATTTTTTCCTGGTCAAAAACTTCAACTCAATTTCCTCTTTGGGAAGCTACTAATCGTCATTGTTGGGAACAATGACAACCTAAAAGATAGTGTCAACACATGTGAATAACTTTGACAACACACATCCCATTACACCACTACACACTGGACAAAAGTACTAACAACTAGTACAGAAATGTATCTTCCAAAAAAAAAACAGCAGATATCCAGGCGGACACAGAACAGGCAGGCAGCCGAGTCAGTCAAGGAGGCAGACAGGCACGAACACCACAACTAAACCTGGCATACCTAAAGCGGATCTCTTCCAAGTCAAAGGGATACTCAATAATGCCAGTAGTGGGGACTCGGACACGTAGGATGTCCTGTTCAGTGGGCAGGTAGTCAGGTGCAGCCACACGGTTGATCTCCGTCAGATAGCTGTAACACATAGGCTTGGTGCTCGCATCCCTACTGACACAATTAACTTGTCACATAAGGCACAAGTACTAGGGAACTCGGAAGGGAATATTTCTTTGCCCATACAAAACAAATCCAGAATCAGGTTATAATCATTGGGATGGGTCACAGCACAGAACCTGATGTAACAGAACCTGCACAGAAGCAACACAGAAATATTTACTTGGAAGAGATTTCCTGCTCCAACTACCGGAGTACATCTGGTGGAACCCATACCAATGAAATTGACAAAAGACTTTTTAGATAATTTTGAATGTTTGTTTAGAGGTTTTCTTTGGTAATGCTTGTTTTACACTGCAACACATAATTTACGAAGTAATTTTCTTGGCATTATATACAATAGGGTTATATCAGCTCTTACATACTGAAGGGCAAATTTTGTATACGTACATTGCATACATCCATCAATTCCAGAAACAAGTTTTTAAAATTAAATCTTCATGAGCAATATATTGCGTTTCATCTTTTATTATCTATATGTACATGTACTAAACGTCATTACTCACAATCCTAATGACATTAAATCAATCACTACAACTTAAACCTGTTTTGTATCTCATACAGAACTTTTAAACCCCCAGAGGCACGAATAAGAAACAGCAAAATTAACTTGGTCTGGTCCCTCCGCATTACATAAAGCAACACATACAACAGACAGAACAGACTGTTCTTCAAAAATTGAATATTTATACTATTACTTTTTAATAAAATAAGAATAGTTCAAACTTGTGATTATAAACTAACAATTTACAAATATGTACATACTTTAACAGTACACGTTTCAACTTTTTAAAGTCTGCCAGACCTGAACTTTTATTCCCCACAAAAATATGAGGACAGAAAGAAATTACTAGTTTTCTTGAATTTTTTTTAAATACTTCGATTATATAAAACTTTCAAAATAAATGTTTCTACTTTGATATATGGCACTGATAAAAGTAAGAAAAAAAAATTCCAAGGCATAATTGATACTACCAAATAAAGGGCACGAATAAAAATAATTAATTGCATTAATTTAATATTAATGAGGAAAACCAGTTCTTTCTGCAGTATGAAACAACCCAATGCAATAAAACAAAACTTAAAAGTAAGCACATTAAAGGGTTTGGAAATCATACTATTATAGGTTACTTTCTCCAATTGACCTATTGAAATCTAAATATTAATATTTCTTCCAAAACAACAAAAAAACTGCTATTATTGTAATAATCATTTAACCTCTCCTTTTCAGCATGTTCTAATCGTTTCCCTAATATCAGATGCCATAAACTGAATAAAATAAAAACACTTTAACATTTAATAATTATATTACACAAATATTTCCTTTGGAGATAATTGAAAGACAAATTCTATAGATAATAACAGGTAATTATATATTCTCCTTTGTTGCTTGTGGATAAAAAAAGAGTTAACAGGAATTTTATTAATAAAATTCCTAAGAGAGCAGGAAATCATACTTCCAAAAATAAACAATGTTCATCGTAATAAAATGTTTAATCTTTGGTGTTTAAAAAATATTTTTTTATTCTCATATTCAATAGTATTCACATCTAAAATGACTGAAAAACATGGTGCTTCCAATTATGTAGACATCAGTAAACCATTGTAAAAGAAATAATCCATGTTCATACTGTTCAATTCTAATCTCTCTTCCAATTTTCGTAACTTTTCAAAAATATTTTTGAATATTATTTAAGAAAGGGATAATACATTTATCAATAAAATACCTTCCTTTACTAGATACAACATAAAGACTAAAAATTCACATGCAGTCTTACTACACACAAATTTCAAGTGATCTCTAAACAAACTTACATGACTATAACAATAATTCAGTTAAAATAAATGACAAGTATCTCAATCAAATAACTTGTACTTACTATTTGGCTGAGTCAGTTAACTGATACTCTCGTCTTCGGTCATAACACTCTTGAATTCCTGTGTCTGCCCATAAATCTTTTATAGCTTCAACATATGGGCTTTCAAACGTTGTAACAGTTTCAAAATCAACACTACGAATTAGTTCTGCCTTTTCCTGCAACAAAATTCTTCACATTGCATATTTGCTCTCAACCCAATGGAAATAAACTGCCAGAAAACATATGTCATTGTCATAATGAATTTTATTACATTCAAGTAAAAGAAAGCGTAAATAGTTTTCTGCAGTGATAAGCAATGCACAATCATGCATGTTATATGTAAGAATAGTTGAAGTTTTATTACATCCTTCCAATCATGCTACAATGATCATTTCTTGCAGAAAAAGCAACAAAAAAATTAACTTACTATGTTTGATGATTCAGCATATGATATTTTGAGCATGTCCATAGCTCTTATCATACTCTGCATAGCCATAAATATATTTTGGTAAACCAACTTGATGAAACCACGCTTATCTTCTTCTGAATATCCTGCTCCATGGATAATTCTCATCTGCTTAATAAATGTTGATTTTCCTGATTCTCCAGTACCTGTCGCATGTCAAAAATTCATTTAACGAAAACAGAACTTGTTTATTTATCTCCTTTAATTTTTCTTTAAAGTAAATCGTAGGAATATTTTTTATTGCTAGCAAAAAAACATGAAAAAATTATTCAATTTTTCTGTAACAAATACATAATTTTTAACATTCATATAATCGAATTTTGTTTGAGTGAATGTGTGTGTGTAACTTACATTTTAAAGCTTTTTATTATCCATACTTTCCTGTATTTACCCAGAAAGAATATTTCGGTCTTCTCATTTCAGCAATATTCAAATCAAGTTCAGAGGGAAAAACAATTACAAAATTATTTTGATCATGGTATTGCACAATACTATTAGTCACTTTGCTGATATTCCTATAACAATTGACTTTAACTCTTTGATCACAATACTATGAGTTTGTACCAACAGAAATGGGTGTGGTTAACGGATGCTTCAATTCATTCATTTGTACCCATTCTTTCAAATAAATTTTCACTCCACCACTTTAAAATAATCTTAATCATCACAGGGGAAGATTTAAATTTCAAAATATACACACACACAAAATAACTAAAATATCTTCTTCCTTTCCATTTCTCCTCCAATGAAAATATAAATTTTAAAATGATTTACTAACGAATACTGAAGTTTAATTTTATTTTGAATCTAATATTTTTGGGAAAATCCAGTCTGTATGTTTATTTTTGACTCGTGAACGTCATGAATGCCATCAATGAAGTTCAATATGTAAACCTTAGTTACACGTTACTAAAAACTAATCTCTTTCACGCATGTAAAAATTAATCAAAAACTGAAGAAAAAGTTAATTGCAGTCTATTCACAAGCAATTAGTAAGTTGACTTTCAAAAAAACTACAAAATATGCATTAAAAAGACATCCAAATTATTTCATGACAGACAGACCACAACTGTCACTCACAGATCTTCCCATCCATTTTCCAACCCACCCTAACTTTTCCTAAAAATTGTACAAATAAAGTGCAAAAAACATTTCAGAAATGAATTTCTGGTAGGTTTGCTCATTTTTAACGTCAAATGTCAGCTTCCGAACAATCTACTTCAACATTCGACAAATTATTTAACACGAACCATTTGCAAGTGCATTACGAGTCATTTCTATATTTTACGTTTAATAATACGGGTATCATTATTATTTTCCCCAAGAATTGCATCCTGAAATTATAATATGTACCAAGATGTATCGAAGGCGGTTCACCAACAAAACGCGAATGGGGGTAAGTAGACGTCACGGAGTACTCACCCAGCAACAGGAGTTTTAGTTCGCGTCGAGCATCCCGTTTATCCCTCCGAAGTTGCCTTTCAATCTCTTGATTTATTCTCTTCTGCTCTTTTGCTTCTTCAGACAGGCAGCACGCCATGTTTTTAACTTCGGAGGGTTGCCCAGCCAATATTATCTGTACAAAGCCGTGTTCCGTGCCGTCTTGAAAACCCTCACGGCTCCTCACACACGGCACAATCCTACGAAGGAATATACATTAATACACACTCGATATGCCCACGAGCAGGCATACGCGTTTCCACGCACACACACTTTTCGCCGCTTGTCGCGAGGTTCCACAGATAATACCTCCCTCGCCCTTTACTGCTGGGTGTGGTAGCCGACAGACGTCGCAGTACGTCCGCTACCACAACCCTATCGCGATTCATGGATTTTACACAAGTCCCAACTTATATCACCGCGGAAAGTCACGTCACCTGCACACAATCCTATTACATTAACTTGATTTATGAAGCCAATCACTCCTACGTACACGTGTTTATTAACAAGATTAAAATACAGAACAAACGATGAGGCACAAGGGGGGAAAGACACATCCTGGAGCAGCATTTTGTTTAGGTTACAATATTTCCGTCACATACAAATGGTAACCCAATACAATCTATAAGTATAAACAAGGAACTCACGTATTGCGATATCCATCAAGTAGGTAGCTACTGCCGGGTACAGAAATTCACATTCACACAAATTACTGGACCTTATTATAAAACAGCAAATGCAGAACACCAAAATGGCGTCTTGATGATGAAGACCCAGGGTGCATTTGATTAAAAACAAACAACTATCAAGAAGAGCGTATGGATATGATATCCTGAAAATTTAACTGGAAATACACGTAATGATATTAAAACGTGTTCAATAAACGAACAAGTTGCTCAAATATTTATAAGTAAAAAATCCACAAGTATCGGTTTCCAAGCGCACCTTATTACCTCTATTCCCAGGCAGCGTCTCGTGTACACAATTCCCGTAAAATGATGAATTGCCGAAATGAAGAAATCATAATTACCTTTTCTTTCCTTTAGGGTATAGGAATGCTTTTTGAAAATAAAATAAACACATTTTGTTTAAAATATATTACAAAAATCGACCCGAACATGAATACGATGTAGTCACTGGCGGGAAAAACAAAAATTGTATTTCATACGCAACTTCTTAAATGAAGGAAAATCAAAACATCATTTTCATCATGGCAGTATGTATCAAGAACACTGTAATTCTCATATTTGTTAACCAATACTCAAGTTACATTAAAGCACAACATTAAACAATCTTTTAATGACAGAGTTTCAAGTGTTGGAGAGCTTAAGCATCCATGTATAGATAGTCTCCTTATGTTTTAGATGCTGAACTTAAAAAAATACAAAAGTCGTTCGAAAATGGTCCTTGAAAATGAAATAAATACATAAATTAAAATATTTATTGCTCTTAAAAGTATGTTTTTCTTTCACATCCATAAAAAGATGAAATTAAAATTTGTAGGTTTTGAACATTTCTGAAACCATCTGACATGCAACAGTATGATATTTGTCATGATTTCCCAAAAATATAGAAAGAATTTGTGTGAATTAATTAATAAAATTGGTATAATGCAATACAATTGGAATAATAAGTAAACAATGGAAAGCCAATATTGTGTATTATTCTAACTTGCTGTAGGCTGCCTAAATATATATATTTTTTGTGTTTGTCTACACTAGTTAGTATGTACCCCAAACTTAATAAGTAGGATTATTTACATAAAAAACGAAACTGTATTAAATATTGTAAACATGATAATAATTTAGTTACATTTCTTAATTAGACTTACATGTTGAGTAGCCTTCCTTTGGCCTTCTTATTATACTACCTCATTATTCACATGGATTTTATTTCACGTTAATGTATTTAATACAGGAAATATTATCATTTATATATATATATATATATATATATATATATGATTTAATTGCTTGTTTTATTCTCATTTATTATTCTGAATTTTCTAAATATAACTTTTTTTTAATGGGACAATCCGGGTCATAGTCTGATCTAAGAAACTCTAAAAAAGAGAAAAAAAATTGACAGATTTTTGGCATTGAGGATTTTCTATTTAAAAAAAATATTTAAAAAATCATACTTTGATAACAATATTTTTATTTTTCAATGTATATTTTCATTCCTAAACAGGTTTCAAAGTAGCATATAATATCACACTCAATGTGATAATAAAGTGCACAAAGCTAGTTTTATTATTAATATAATAATCAAACCTTATTATCAAAAGGGGCAACAAAATAAATGGGGGGGGAGGAGGGTATTTTTATTTATCATCGATTGCCTCTGGGCCTCCAGGACTCTGGTTGCAGCTCTGCAGCCTGTTCTTATGTAGAGTATTTAAATGTGGGTAAAGTCAATGCCATATTAAGGAAGTAAACAATGTACAAACTTGTATTTGCAGATTTTATAATTTCAAGTAAAACACGGATAAAAAAAATTATAGAAAATTACTTTTGATCTTTGTCTTTTAAATGTTATACTCAAGAGAGAAAACATGTCAACAATGTAAATTACAATTTTTATTTTTGCTGGTATTCACTCAGTTTCTATGCCTTTTAAAAAGTATATGGTGAAACAAAAAATATGCATTTGGTATTGATTTTAATTACATAATTTTCAAAATTGTTATTATGTATATACAATTAATGATATGACAGAGAAAGAAGACAGACAGACACAGGTAGACAGTCGCAAACAAACAGACACAGTCAGATAGGCAGGCACAAACAGACAGACACAGCCAGCCAGAGAGATTTAGATATTCATATTTTATTCCTCACTGTTGAAATTGATTTATGACGTACAGCACATAGTCTGCCCATTTCTTGCACTGCTTGGTAGCATCTAAACCATATCAATTAATCTGACTGTCATGGCCCTTCCGATCTCAAATAGACTTTAAATTGTTGGAAACCTTTTTTCATGAAGCCCCCATCATATTTTCAAAATATTCTAAAAATTAACTTCAAGTTTGTTTGCTTTTTTTTCTTTAAATAGTTTTCTCAAATTGTGAAAATAGTGCAAATGCATTTTCAGTTTAACCGTAGAAATTTCTAATATTATTGGAAAAGTGTAAAAGTTTGCTGACACTTTTCTACAACTATATTATTGAAGAGAGTTCTTCAAAATTATATTTTGAAATAAAGGCATGAACAATTCTTTGAAAATATGAGTAGTTTTTCATGGGCTAGTGAGTGAAATCCTCATAATTTTAAAAATTAAGTAAACATGTGTTTCTCAAAAACTGCTCAAAATTTATCCTTTACATTTTATGATTAAATAGAGGGAATTTCTCTTAATAAAAGAGGATATGACCAATTTTCATTAAATATTCTCTGTGATTTCGAAAATTGTAAATTTTTTCCCCCTTCAAACCTCTACTACACCTTCAATATTTAAGCTTCATATTTTATTTTCTCCTGTACATAGCACAGAAAATGTTACGTAAGGATGGAAAAACAGTTACAGATGTTGAGGGTTGAACAGAAATACACGTTTTGCGGTACCCAGTCACTGAAAGAGTTTTTACAGTTCAAATTGTGAGGCCATCCGTCTGTGTGCGAACATCGCTAGGACCTCAACCGCATGCAGAATTTTCAGCAAAATGATAATTCGACCTGGCCGATGTCGCGGTCCCATGAATTTCAAACAGAATGTTTTAATATTGGGGAGTGATTTGCACCCCTAGATATTTCCGATTATTTTCAAAAATGGCTCGACTTTTGTGTTTAAATTTTTGCTTGATTAGAGTATTTTTAAATACGCTGTCTTTTAAATACTAAATGACGTATAGCTCAAACAATTACGCAAATCCGAGTATATGCAGTGTAGAGAAAATACGAAAAATGCCGTATTTTTGACAGAAAAACTCGTTTTGTGATTGGTTCCTTGATATCGTAAAAGAGGATTTTTTGCTCCTATATGTAGTAAATTATCGACTCTAATACGAAGAGCAATCGAAACTTTTTTTAATAGGTCCTACACCTTCTTTATTGAAGTTTGAGGTTTCTTTTTAATGCACCCTATTTCTATGTATCAGATTAGAAATAAGCTTTTTTTGAAAATTGTTGCGGTTTTGTGTAATTTTGAGTTAAGAGGGGACGAAGCATAATTTTCGAATCTGTCATACTCCCTTCATATTGAGACGAGATTTCTTTGTTAATACAATCTATTTCTTTGTATTAAAACTTTTACAAAATTTAAGTTCATTTTTTCAGTCTTATAGGTTTTCACGTAATTTTTAGTTATATCGTTTGCGTTTCTAAAGTGATGGCTGAAGTGGTAGTGTAAAATGGAATATGTAGTTACTGCTGAAATATTGTGGAAATTCATAATGGATAGGTAAACAAATAATCTTCCACAAACACACATATGTTTCACAAAGTTACTTTGGGCTATTTCAGTATATAAAGGCAAACCTGTTTCGAGGATATTTTCTGATCGTCAGTGCTCTGCAAGTAATTTGACTCTATCGATTCTACAGGATTGATTTTGCAATATTATATATCAGTTATCTATAAAAATACATGTTATAATATTATACATAACAATTAATTATAATAGAGGAAAGAAGGTACTGTTCTGGCACCTTAAGGTTATGTAATTGAATACCTTCGGGCAAAAAGGTTGTTAAACAAAAAACGCATTTGCCTTACCAACTTCCATAAAACTGATTGCAACCCTAATATCAATGGAAATTGCTTATTTCTTTAAATTAAATAAAGTTTTGTAGTTAACGTTAAGTTAAGTTAGCCAACATTCTCTTGGTAGGGACCCTCTCCAACACAGTTACAATCCATTCTGCACAGTGCTGTGTACTGGTTTTAATATGTTGGTTACAATCTTTTTGCCCGGAGGTATTCAATTGTGTATTTAATACATCATTTGAAATCAACAATGAAGACATTAAAAAACTATAAACATTTAGTCTAAAACAACATTTTCAGTTTACACTTGGGGATGACTTTGAGAAGCGAGGGTTAAAAAGTAAAGTGTTTGTGGAATTTCAGTTTTACTAAATTATCACCAAAACACCAAGTAATTTTATTTGTACGTGTTAATTTTAAAAAATGACAATATTCGACCATCATTTCTGTGAAGAGACTAATGTGATCTCCAATCTGCAAGATACCCAAGAAGAAAATACGAATTTTCTGAAACATTTTAGATTGAGGATATAGAAATGCTTTCTTTAAATAAGAACTATGATTACACTTATAATCATGCGATATTTTATTTCTATGGGTCTTTTAAACTGCTTTGTGAATGCAACACGAAGCTCGTCAATCGTAATGGCACCTTCGCACTTCGCAAGCGAGAGCACGTGTAACTGTCGCTTTGTAGAGTTAAATTTTCGTATGAAAAAGATCTTTAAAGATTTTATGAGAAGGGCACTGTATTTAAAACAATTTGTTGAAAAGAGCTTTGATAGACATGGTTTTGGGATGATAAACATTAGTACTAGTATATAAATTTCAACATAAGTACTATTCTGTTAAAGAACCATTACAAATTATTCAAGAACGACGTTATAGCAACAGGTTCATTAGGTTCAAACGCTGAGTTCTCTACTCCATTTACTAAATTATATATTTTACTTTTGGAACAATATAATTCTGTTTTAAGTTTCAACTTTGAACTCACCGAATCATTAGCTATCAGTGATTATTTCGAGTGTATAACTGTTACGAAATAGTAAAATATCTGTCACTTAATACAAATAATCGTTTTAAACTTGGCAATTCTGAAAACTGTACACATTTCTGAACAAAACAAAAATATGTGCAAAATTGTCGAGCAGTACAAATCTAAAAGAGGTAAGTTATACCTTTCAAGAAATATTTGCAAATCGTAGAGACGTACAAGTATTAAAGACAATCGAAACACCATGTTGTTGAAATAAACACTGTTTATCCATAATTAAGTTTCACATACGTTTCGTGGATATTTTTGGGGGGAGGGGCGCCTTCACATTTTCCGGCCTCAGGAATCTCTTAGTTTTAGTAATATTATGTTACTTTAAAAGTTGCATTGCATAAAGCATTTACTGTCAGATGAATGTACCTGCTGTCCCGTGAAATACGTCAAAAAGTCGGAAATGACCTTACTGCCAGAAACGATGTACTAACAGAAGACACGGGCTAGAGTGTGGGCAAAATACTCACGAAACATGGTGGAATTGAAAACATAAATTAACTCCATTTGTTTCGACGACATGGATTATCTTTAATCTATCGTAAACTTTAATATAATTTAAAACATCTGCTATCAGACAATCAACCTGGTAACTTCAAGCTTTACCTATCTTTAAAGAGATAATATTTTAATATTACTATTTTCACTTCAGAACGCGTTGCCAATAATACAAAGTTTCCTAGTGAAATGTCTGTGAAGATCACGAGCAAGCGTACAGATGGTTTAATGATTGATTGTTACGAGCACGGCAATGACAAAGGCCGTTAATATCGTTAGCATAGTGAGTGATGTGTACGCCTGGAGGAGATGGTGCTCCTCCCCCGCTGGATGGTGAGGCCTTGCGCCGATCTGTACGTCGCTTACGGGAAAAATTCTCCCTCGCCTGGGCACCGCCCCAGCCGGGACAAGCTCTAAGAGCCCGATAGCTCTTCCGACGCATACAGTAGCATAGTGCAAGTAAGCATAAGTGTAAGCGTGCGTAAGGAAGGGGAAAGGCGAGGACGAAGCAAAGGAAGGAAAGATCGCTCGCCCTTGCCCGTTTGTTAGAGTACTGCTCCGGCTATTGATCGAAAGAACCACGAGAAACTATGAATCAGCGCAACCGGCTTTTTCAGGCAGATAGCGAATGAATTCGACTTCGCAGAGAAGACAGTGTCAAAAAGTCACCCCTTCGTTGGGGCCCGAACCCGCAGACCTCCCAGTGAGAGACGCTGCAAAATCAGACTGCTATGCTGACTCTAAGCGGCATAGATAGTTTCGCAATTCTGTCTTCGATGTGCAGTAGTTTGATGCTAAAACCCAAAACAATTCTGCCGACAGTGGCGAGGAAACGTGACGATTAGTCTGTCGCGATTGTTTGGCCACCCCTGGGATTTCGGCGGCGCGGCGTCTGGGAAGGCGGAGTCGGGGGGCTGAGGGGGCGCCGTGGGGTCTGGAGGGGCGGCCAGGGCTGACGCGCTGAAATTCCCCGCCGCAGGCAGCCAATCGCAACGATTCCACGCACCGGGGGGACGCGCCGTTAGATGACGTCATGCTATGCAACCCGCAATACTCTAAAACGTGAGTGCAGGCACCTTTCCGAACAGGGGATGAATACGACAAAAACTCTCATTACAGTGTGCTATACGACGTAATATTGATTTCATTAAAATTTAATGAGGTACGTAAAATAGGACCATTAATATATTACATGGCTTTTTATTTTTAATTATTAGCCCAAGCGTTCTACAATTTAAGGAACAATTACACTAACTTTGTAAATCAAAAACACAAACAATTTGCGAAAAACGAATTGTACCAGTCAACATTTTTTTTATTTTTAAAAATATTCAAATTATTGTTTGGCAAGATAAATCTTACTATTTTCAATAAAATAGCACAAATATCCACCGAAACTCTACCTTGGTTTTTATCATCTTTTATGCCGATCAGGAAAACTGAGTAGAGTTCAAAGTAATGTACAACTTGGAATAATTTTCTTTAAGAAAAAAGTATAAAACAGCATATACAAAATATGTACGCAGAAAACCAAGTGTGGCAAGACTAATCTGGAGAGTTGACAGTAAGTCAACCTCTCGTGTATCTATACAAGATTAGACTAGCATAAAGACAGTAAAGAAAGTGGATGGGCTCACAAAAGAACGTATAATTTTATGAAGGAATATTTACATCGCGACGCTGTGAAATAATTAGAGGGAAAAGAAAAATGTCAGAAAGAAAGGATACTGATGGAAGGAAGAAATCAAAGACCTTAAGAAAAATAAGTAGGTGGGGGAAAAATGATCTTCATTAAGACTTTTCATAGAGAAATATCAATAACTACAGATAAAAAGAATGCAATGAAATTGAAAGATGTGTTTTGTCAAAAGAAATATGAGGTGAATTCATTGATCGGTAAACACAAAATCAAGAGTTTGGAAAACAATTAAATTAATTAATTAGTGGTGCAAAAACTGCACAATCTTTCTCCCCTGTGTTTTCATGTAAAATTACGGGAAAAGTACTCAAATTTTCGAAAAATTGTACATGACCATATTTTCAAAATCTATATTAAAGGAACAGATTTCACAGAGAGAAAAAATCTTTCTTTAATATTTTAATTGTAGGAAGAATTCGAAAAAATTGTGAAATTTTGCGATTGAAAAATCAGGGTTTTCAACAAACTTGGGACCTGCAACGACAAAATTGAAGATAAAGATTTTTCTTTCCCATTAAATTTGTTTTTCAACATTAGTTCTTTCATTAAGGTCATGTATTTTTTGTTGTTTACGCGCAATATTGTGTGCAATGTGTGAAATTTTAAAAAATAACCAAAACCAAAATTTTTCAAAAACGGCTCTAAACATTTTCTTTAAATTTTAATCGTTCGGATATTTCTAATTGCACTGTTTAAGTTGACATAAAATTATTGTTTGCTGTATTCTATGTTTTTCGAAAATTACAAAAAGTGAATTTTTTTACTAGACTCACGTCGTTAATATTTACATTAGTGAAGATTTTTTTCCCCATTATTGCATTTAGGAGTATATGTAGTTTAAATTGTGTCACCTTAAGTTTCTCGAAAACGCAAAAGATTTTTGTAAAAACGGGCTCAAAATTCATTTTCAGAAGCGCTCAAATGCCATTTTATCAAAACCAGCTCGAATTTTTTAAAACCGTTTGTACGGATAGTGCTAATTGCACTATTTTAGATTATACAAAATTCATTTTGCTGTATTCTTTTGCTTTTTTCAAAACTTACACAAATGTAATTTTTTAAAGATCTCTCACGCCGTTAATATGCTCATTTCCATTTGTAAATACTATTGAATTTGTGAGTTAAAGCGTAAATGAAATCTAATGACGTTTTTCGGAAACAAAAAATGTTTCTGTCAAATTTCCTATTTACAGTAACGCTTAAACGTCATTTTATTATAATCGGCTCCAAAGGTTTAAACAAAAATATCCTTATTGGACGAGGTTTTATTCTTGCATGATATTAGTAAAGAAATATTTCAGTTGTACCATTAGGAAACCGACAAATTGGTAATTTATTGTTTTTTTTAATGTAATTCGGGTGGCAATAGATGGCAGCTGCCAAGAGGATGGGGCAAGACCAAATAAATAAGAAAACTAACTAATACGAGAAAGTCTGTGCCATTCTGTAGCACCACTAGTTTTTATTAAGCTTGTTCCTGGAATAGCGTATGGAGACTTAAGAAAGTTTTAAATTTTTTCGGTGTCTTCTTACAATTACAATATTTAAAATAAAGATATTTTCTTGAATGAAATTTGTTGTTCAAAGGCAGATCTTGAAATAATGTCAAATAAAATTGTAGGACAATATGAGTAGTTTTAGCAAAATTTTGGAGAAGAATATGATTTTTGTTTTTTTAATTCTCAAAAACGGCTCCAAGTTTTTTCTTCAAATTTTCTTCTCAGATGGTAAATGGTATAGATATATGGACTAGACACACTTTCAGCGAACTCTACATTTTCAAAAATTGCTAGTTAATTGAAAGTAATTAATAAGAAGATAGATCATTCGCTATTTAAGAATCATCTAATGTGACAAAGGCCGTGTGACTGCATGCAAGCGCATGGCGAGTCCCTCCTTTTACCTGAGTTCGAACTCGGCGGGGAGAAAATTGTTGCTGGTTGAAAACACTTTAGCAAGTTTACGTAGAAGTAGTATAATATTTCTTAGCTGTTACACTTAAAGTGATAAAGTATTTGCTGATGTAACATCACTAGTTTTACTTCCTCCCCTAATTACGTAAGTTGTAAAGAGAAAGTACTGTAATTGTGCGACGGAAATTGACGATTGTTTGGTAGAAAACTCCTGTTGTCGGGCCCTGCAAATGAAAAAGTGGATAAATTTTGTTAATATAATTAGTAATTACTTTCTCTAACAGCTTTTGTGGGTCCTTGAAACCTAAAAATCGATTGATGGCAAAACTCCGGTCTGTCCGTTAGTTTCCGTCTGTTTCAAAACCTTTGGATATGAACAAAGGTGCTTTGGTTATGGATGCTCTTTAAAAAACAATTTTGGATGTTCTCAGGTTTTTGGCTTAGATTAGACTGCTGACCCCGATTAGACTCGTTAGTGAGCATAAGTAGCTTTTCCGAGAAGGGTACCGGCATGGATTTGGAGAATTTCTACGTAAAACTGGGATAAGTTGGTTAATTTTTTTTTTGTAGCTGGAGCAAATTTAAGGTGAGATGAGGTATTGGACTGTCAGAGATTTTTAGACGGGGGATGGGGCTTTTCGGTATCAGGGACCTCCAAAACGCGTATTTTTGTGAAACAATTGGTATCTAAATTATGTATCGGTGCATAAATGTCTCTGTAGTATGTACAAGAGAAAGTAAAAATATTATAAAGATTGTTTTTTTAAATAAATTGGAGATACGTGAAGTTGCTTGCCATAACAAGTCAATGAACGGGGAACTGCGTGAGTGTATTCCTCGTTCGTTGCAGACATATTCGCATGCTTATTCAGTCTGTATATTATTGATTAATTCTTCACTGCCATATGTGATTACCTTACACTTGAAACCTTTTGAAATTTCGAGAACTTCAATAGAAATCATTTAAAGCGTTTATGTATGTAAATGCATTAAATCTAAAAAAATCTTCAATATATATGTTAAAATCGCAAGGGCATTTAAAAAAATATAAGAGTAAATTTTGAAAATTTCAAAAGTTGTAATGAAAATGACTCATATGTACTAGAATTAAATGCGTTATGCTCTTTTCGCAAAAAGAGTTTAAAGTATAAACTTGGCACTATTTTTTAGAAAATATCGTTTGCGTGTTTTGGGGAAAATTTTAATTATTTGATTTTAAACTTAGGAGAAAACTTCTAATATTTTGAAAAACTGTTGATAGAATGATTTGATAAAATTTTGGAAAACAGAGAGCATTATGGAAGAAATTCTAGATTTAATAATAACTGTTAAATTAAGTGGAGGGAAATTTTGAAATAAATACATTTTGCAATTTTAGAAAATTAAGAGGTTTCAATGAAAGCATGTTATTACATTTATCCCACGGTCCTTTATTCGAACAAAACTAATAAAAAATATGAAACCATTTTTGATCAAATTTATTAGTAACAGATTATTCTCTAAAGCTACGAGAAAACTAAAACAACCACACAAAGCTGAACCACCACTCCGAGACAAACATGCGAAAAGGGCGAGGAGTGCTACAGAAAAATGTGAAGTTTTTGTACACCATTTTGCTGAAGTATTTTTAAAGCAAACCACATGCAAATGAAGATGAGAAATTTCAAGAGCATCTTGATTCATGAGCACAAATGGCATTTCCTTTAACATTTTTTATTCTTGAAGAAATACTCAAAATGATAAATAACGACCTTCCCTGCAAAAAAGCAATGAGCTATTACCTTATCACTGGTCAATTAATAAAATAAATACCTCGTAAGGGAATTGCTTTTCTTACAGCGTTCTTCAACAGTATTTTTCGCATTGGACATTGTGCCATTCAGTGGAAAGTTGCCCAAATCAAGGCATTCCTAAAACCTGGTAAATATCGTCACGAAGCTTCATCTTAGTCTTCTTACAGTCCTGTCCACGGTGAGAAACAACTATTAACAAGACTACGACCTCACTTATCATGCAACAACAACATCGTGCTGGACCATCAGTTTGGACCTTTAGTGTAAATTGGTAGATTTCATAAAATAAAATGGTAGATTATTAATTTTATTTTTAACTAAATTTACTTTGAAATACCTGAAGTCTTATCAAATACGGCGATTAATGTCAGCGAATTCGGCAGTACAGTGAAGACGTTCCCTCAATATCTCACGTCCCCGTTGCGTACTTTTTCCCACCATCGCTCTCTCCCGGGCTAGTCTTTTCCAGCGTTAGCGTAAGTTTCATTCGCTGACCTTGTCCCACATGGCCGTAAGCTTCCACCGCGTAACGCTGCGCCTCGCGGCCGCGCCTTCCACGTCACCCGCCCGCTGCGCGAGCTGCGCGACGCGTCTACCTCCAGGCGCGATGCGCACCTGCGCCACGTAACGCCGTTTCGCGGCGAGTGCGCGCCAAGTGGGAGGAGTAATATACACAGTATAGGGAAAGTTATGTAATGCTGCGGAAAATCGATTTCGAGATTTGAACGGAAATACAATTTTGGGGGTTCCCGGATACTGAAAAGGTGGTGTTATGTTCAAAACGTCTGTCTGTCCGTCCGTCAGTGAACAGTACTAGCGCCTAAGCTGTGCCAAGGATTTTTCCAAATTGAAGAATCACCTGTCCATCTGGATAAAGTTTAAGCTTTAGAATTGGAAAAAATATTTTAAATTTGGAGGTGCTTTACATGAAGCTCCCCGGACGTTTTCAAAATTTTCTCAAAAACGGTTCTCAATAATTTCTTTAAATTTCTTGTAGAATATCATACACTTATAAATGTGGCATATGTTCAATTTTCTGAGTTAACTCTAAATTTTCGATTTTTTTAAAATTTTCAATTTTCGAAAATTTAGGCGTCTTCCTCCAAATACAGAATTGAAGATAGAGATTTATCATTCAAATAAAATTTGTTGTCCAACCTTAGTTCTTTAATTAAAGTCAAGTACAATTTTTCGAAAATTTTAGTAGTTTTCACGCAATATTGCGAGCAATATGTGCAATTTTAAAAAACTATAAAAACAAGATTTTTTCAAAAACGACTCCAATTTCGTCTTTAAATTTTCGTAGGGATAGTGCTAAATGGACTCTACAAGAGGATCCTCACGCTACAAAATCCAACATAGTTCGGTCTTAAAACGTTCTGTTTTCACCGCTTGTTATTGAAGCGAATCTGTTGTTTTAATCACAATGTCAGTACAATTATCAAAAACGTTTTATTGCAACGGAGCATTTTCATTACAAACGTATAATAAACAATGAAATAAATGTGTATAACTGTTGTAGCCATTTTCAGTGTATGCGATTTGAATTTTTTTTCTTAACTACAGAAAAAATCTGTAAAAGTCACGTTTTGAAATCACGTTAAAAAGAACTTTCGAGATTTTTTCCAAGCCCGTTTCAGGGTTTCAAGACAGTAAAAATTATATTTTGGTATTCTTTTTCAAGAAAAATTGAGTTTTAATTTGGCGCTGAGAAAAAAACAAAATATCTTTTTCCGATTTATTTTGTTATTTTTCACATTTTTTCAAACAGATAAAATAGCGATAAGTTGACGAAAAACATTAAAATTTAAAAAGAATGTTTCTGGCTGTAGAGGGGTGTGGGTGATGGGAAGAGGGCTCAGAAATCTTTAAAAATTATTGTTTATGTTAAAATTATAGAGTAACTAGTCATATGGCATTTGATTTAGGGGAACTTTTTGCCATCTTATGCGCGGGGATCCTTTGCCCCCCTTATAAAAAAAGTTGAAATCTTGCCTCTGCCCAGAGTACAGGATCGATTATGGTTGAGATGGGGTTAGCGCCCAAATAAAGACTTCATTGGATTTTAATTTATCGTGTATGTTCTCTGATTATTCCAGAATTTTGGGAATATTTCATGAAAGCTGTGAACAAAATTGTAGATGAAATTGAACGCGTAGTGATCGTAACAGACTGTCAAGCAGCAAGATTAACTTTAAACATATTTCACAACAAAATTTGCTCATGATGTTAATCAATGTGGAACTACGGTATAAGAAACGGAGCATTATTTCACTAGCAAATATCACAATTTATTTACTTTAGAAAATGTTATTTACTGTTTACATGGTTTCCTATGCTGCCCAACTCTCGAATTCAATATTAGTGGCCAAATTTTAAATATATAACGCACACCGGCTTCGAAGGCGCGTGGTTAGCGTTTCAGACTTATTGCCAAGTTCGCGGTTCAAACCCGATCAAAGCTGTGTATTTTGCTCTGGAAGCTATGAAAAATCCTTCGGAGGGGAAGTAAAGCCGTCTGTCATAGATTTACAGCATGTAAAAAACCTCAAGCCTAAAAGAAGCCCCTGAGAAAAATTAAAAATCGCTCATTTCATCGCCCAAATGGTAACTCCTTTCTCTGCCAGACGTTGAGAGGAACGTCGCAGAATTTGCGTGGTCAGGCGGAAGAGCAGGCCTGAGCGTGGGTTCGAAGGGCTGTTTGTCGATCCAGTGGCCAGCGGCCAGAGGCCGTCCGGCACAGCGCGTCTGCATACACCGTTGCGCGGAGCGGCCGCTAACAGCAATTAGTCGGCCACTTAGGCGGCGCCCACAAATTGCGGCTCCTTCTTTCTTCTGTTTCCAGCTGCCCCGCGCCCACGCGGACGTCCAAACGAGCCCAGATGCGCGCACGGACACATATTTATGCGCCAAGGGCTTTGCGAGGGTTCTAATGATCCAACGGCGACAAAAGGCCGAGGGCTGTTTGTTGCTCGAGATCATTAGAACCTGTTAACGGCCGTGGTGTATACAATAATTTATTTTTTTACTTCATTCACACGGTTAATATTTAAGTAATTATGAATTAACTAGCTGCTAACTTAACTCGTTGTTTTTGTTCATATCCCCGACCCCATAAGGAACATTCAACTGTTTTCATACTTCCTTCGTAACCGCGATTCTCTCGATCCAGGTAAGGTATACAAAGAATATCGAGAAATCCGTATCGCAGCAATAACATGCAATAACGTATCAATAAAAAATAAACAATATTTAAATAGAAGTAAACAGA